AACAGCAAACAGACATTGCCAAGAAATTTAACATTCATATACTTGGGGTAAACAGAAAAGGAATACTAGAATAGAGGGATGCAACACTTATTCAATAAAATTATTGCTGAACATTCCCCCAATTTTAAAAGAGAGAATCTCACCTACTTAACAGAAGCATACAGAATACCTAGCAAACAGGATCTCAGGAGGAACACTTCTAGATACATCATAGTAAAAACACTAGTTCTAAACAATAAATAATCTTGCATGTGGCAAAAGCAAAGAAGGAGCTATACTACAATGGAAATATCAGAATCATTGCAGAACTCTTCACACAGACACTGAATGCAAGGAAAGCCTGGGAAAGTACCAGCTGAGGCCTAAGAACCAATAACTGCCAACCCAGACTGGTGTGTCCAGGGAAGCTAGCCTTCACATTCAACAGAAAATCCAAAATTTTCAATAGTAAAGAAAAACTAAATAAATTCATAAATAATAAATCAGCACTACAAAGAATATAAGAGGGCATTAAATCTGAAGATGACAATCATGATCAGGGATCCACATCAAACAGATATCACTAGAAGAACAACTAAGAAGGCAAAGGAGGAAAGGAAAGAAGAAAAACTTAGGAAAGCAGGAAAATGACAGGAAACACAAGGCATCCCTCTACAATAACCATAAATATTAATGGACTCAATTCACCAATCAAGAAAAAGAACTGCAGACTTCTGTTTATGTGAGGGCCCCTTAAAGATTTTCAGTTTCAAGTTTTCCTTTGAAAATTGCCATGAGCACAGAATTGTGGCAATCTTTCACCTAACAATGTAAAATCATTTAAACCCTAAAAAAAAGAAAAAGAACTGCAGATTGAATCAGAAAACAAGATTCATACATTTGTTGTCTTTAAGAGACCCATCTCACAGCCTAAGATAAAAACAAACTCCAAGTGAAGGGATGGAGGAAGATCTACCATGCATATGCTCCCAGCAAGAAGGCAGAAGTTGCCATCAGTATATCTGACAAAATTCACTTTTAGTGAAAATCAATACAAAAAGACAAAGACAGACACTATATATTAATACAGGGAAAAAAATCCAAGAGGAGGACACCACCATTATCAATTTATGCTCCCCAAACACTGGAGCACCCAAATACAGTTAAGAAAATACTCCAGATTTACAGGAAAAAATAGATCCAAATACAATAATATGAGGAGACTTTAACACTCCATTCTCACCAAAGGACAGGTCTACCAACCAGAGGATTGGCAAAGAAGCCTCCAAATTAGATACCTATGTCAAATGGACTTAATTGACATTTACAGAGTTTTCTATGCAACTACCACCCAGTACACATTCTTCTCAGTAGCCATGGAGCTTTCTCCAAAATAGAACATATCATAGTTCATACAAATAATTTAAGCAAATACATGAGGGTCGACATCATCTTTTGTATTCTGTCTGAACATAGTGGAATCAAGCTAGTTCTCCATAACAGATCATACTGTAGAAATTGCTCAAATACATGCAGATTGAACAGCACACTTCTGAGCAACACCTGGGTCACAGAAGAAATTAAAGAACAAATTAAAACATTCCTACAATTCAATGAAATCAATAAACATCACAAAGAAATCTGTGGGATACGTCAAAAGCAGTCCTGTGGGACAAATTTATTGCTCTCAGTGCACACATTAAGAAAATAAAGACAAAAAGAAAAAAGAAAAGACAGACCAAGTAAATAATCTCATGATGCAACTAAAACTGCTAGAAACACAAGAAAAAAATTAAACCAAAAGTTACTAGACAGAGCGAGATAACCAAAATAAGAGTTGAAATTAGGGGCTGGGAAGGTGGCTCAGTGGTAGAGCGCTTGCCTTGCATGCCTGAGGCCCTAGGTTCGATACCTCAGCACCACATAAGCAAAAAGACAAAAGCCAGAAGTGATGCTGTGGCTCAAGTGGTAGAGCACTAGCCTTGAGCTGAACAACTGAGGGACAGAGCCTAGGCCCAGAGTTCAGGCCCCACAACCAGACCCCACACACACACACACAAAAAGATGAAATTAACAAGATAGACTAAGAAAACTATAAATAAAATTAATAAAGCAAAAACCTGGGTTTTTTTTTAAAGAATAAAATTGACAGACCTCTGGCAAGATTAACTGAAAAAGAAGAGAGGAAACCCAAATCAATAAGATCAGGGATGGCACAGGAAAAATTACAACAAACATCCAAGACATCCAAACAATCATAATTATTTCCAGAATCTCTACTCACTAAGGAAGGAAAAGCTAGCAGAAATGAATGAATTTT